AATATAGAAAAGCACAGTGTAGCCACGTTATGGCGGTGAGAAAATGACTGAAGCCAAAATGCCATTTCAAATTCTTTGAATTTTGTCAAGAAATTCTGGATAGACAGCAGAAACGACAAAATAAATATGGCGACAATACTCAATGCACGGACGAATGGTAGACTTATCAAGTTATAAGATAGATTCTGGCGTTCTCTAGAATTGTCTAGAACTGCATAGTGAACAGGCTTAACTAGCAGCAGACCTAGCAGTTGATTCAATATAATCTTTCCACTTCATATCAATGGAAAATGTTAGACTTAGAAGGCGCAATGAAATACTCTCCTGATGGTTAGCATCAGCCTTATACTAGAAAAGAACAGGACAGCTTAATCAGCGTTTACAAATTTCCCTAATATTTTTTGATAATATTTTATCCCTTGCTTTCAGATGCGGTGCACTTAGTGAGAAACAAACTCACGAAAGAAACAAATGTCTGTGAAACAGTGAAGTTGACTCATAATTAATTTCCATTTGGGGGCAACTATTTTTTTTTTTTATTTATTTCTTTTTTACGGCTTATTAAACTTTTGCGGGTTATTTAAAGCCAGAAAATATTTTTAGATTGTAAGAATTCTTTTGGGAGATAATAATGATTTATTGAAACAAGTCCAACTAATTAACCCATTGCTGGAGGGAGAAGAGATGGATTCATACCTTTCCTGTGGACATTTACGCATAAAAGAAGATAGCGAATCCGACTGGAATTGGATCTCGCCTCTCCAATTTCAAATTCCGAGCTGGTATCCATTATACAACCCGCACATCCATGCTTACAGCACCTGGAACTCTAACTCTTCTTTAAATATATCATAACACGTGATGAAAAGTGGGTTATATACAACAATATGCAACGCAAAAGGCTGTATACTGACAATGGAATGTCTCCATAACCGATCCCAAAACGTGTGGTCCATGGAAGAAAGGTAATATTGTGCGTGTGGTGGGATCGTCGGGGTATTATTTATTCAGAGTTCGTAAAACATAGAAAAACACTAAATGCTCACTTATAAGTCCAGCAGCTGCTAGGGGTCGATAAGATTTTTTTTTATCTATATTTCTGAGATGAGGTTTTAGGTACACTATTTACATTATTCGGACTATTTTCCTCATCTTTGCCCCTATGTTTATTACAACGTTTCGGCTGTTGTACGCACCGGCCTTCTTCAGGTGCGTGGAATGCCGAACTGAACCCTTTATTTCGCTCACTGGGGTAGACTGTTCTAGTTCCACGTGACATGTTTTAATGGATGTCAGTTATCAGTTATCTCCTGTTAATTCCCCTCTCCAAGTTCTCCACTGCCTTAGCCAGGTATTGAACTCACACTGTCACTGGATCTAACTAGCACCTTTATCTACCGTGTCATGTGTCCTTGAGGACATCTGTGTATGACTTTCTGGGTATTATAAATCTAATGTCATCAGTAACCAGTTTTACCAGTGCTCATATTGCAATTTTTTGCTGTTATCATTGCATGTTTTACCAGAGTTTATATTGCACATGGAACAGAACAGTCTACCCCAGTGAGCGAAATAAAGGGTTCAGTTCGACATTCCAGCCACCTGAAGAAGACCGGATCGTACAACTGCCGAAACGTTTTAATAAATATGGCGAAAAAGATGAGGACAATAGTCCGAATAATGTAAATAGTGAAGTTTTTTTGTCGACAAGTGCCCTGCGTTCGTCAACAGGAATAAATGCTGCTCTCCTCCACGATAATTCAAGGGCTGCATTCAGAATAAGAGAGGAAAAATATTGACAACGTCGGTCTACTCTACCCCACCCGTTATATTCGCCTAACCGTTCACCAACCGATTGTTATCTTTTTCAGTCGCTGCAAAACGTTTTGATGGCGGGTGGGGAGTCTTTCTCTAATGAAAACCAGATTCATGATTTCGTCGAAAACTTTCTCACATCAGAACCTGCAGAATTTTACTCAAAAGACATCGAAGTCATGTGGCAACAAGTCAGTGCAAAGAATTCTAAATATGCGTGTATAAATAGGATATAGAATCTAGACAAAGTTTGATAAAATTTGACAAATGTTGTCATCGTCAGATAGGCCTCTCAGATCAGAAAGAAAGAAATATATGTTTGTGTGTGAGTTTCAAGGTTATAAACGAATTATGATAAAACGAAAAATTGAAACGAAAAAAAAAAAGCATAAATTAAAAAAAACGGCTTTTATACAAAAGTCACAGAATTTTCTTCTTTCATCCCGACGTACCAGAAAAAGTATTAATAATTTAATATTAAAGCACACATATAAAAACACATACACATTCATACACACACACAATACACACACACACACACACACATATATATATATATATATATATTTCCATTTCATACAATCGGAATTAAGATACCATTGTGTCACATTATGAAATCGACAAAGACCGACAATTATATTAAGACATTTTTATGTTTATACATTCTTTTTATTGATACAAATAGTTAAGTAAATCCTCTATTTTATAATAAACAGTATTAATAATTACCAGCCTGAATGTCCGAGAAATTTTATAGGATACAGGTTCGATTCCTGTCGGAGGACGAATATTTTCTATGATAATTTCTCGGACATTCAGGCCACAAATGTTATTAATACTTTTTATGATAAAACAGAGCATTTCCTTAAATATTTGTATACATAAAAAGAATGTATAAACATAAAAATGTCTTAAAATACCATTATGTAAATGATCATTACCATTTTAAACAGTTAAGGGATATATAATCATATTCACCTTGTAAATCCATTAACTGTTTGAAAATTCCTATAAATTTAATTTTACTAGGTGAAAATGCTCATTTACATATTTTTTCCCTGTCTGTCTTTCTTTCTCTTCCCCCTCCTTGTCTGGGTTTTTGCAAATATTTATTATCCATCAACTGTTTGAAAAATCCTGTAAATTT